TCCTGTGCTAGGAAATGTTTCAGCGTTAAATCAAATCCACAGCCAAAAGCTGGTGCAGCAAACGTGTGCAAGCAGCTGAAGGTGTACGTGGCTGAACTAAGTCCATATTGGTATTTGGAATGCCTAGTGACCTCATACGATTCTGAATTGTGCTTAACATTATCAGTATTTCCACAGTGTGTTGGTGTAGTTAAAGTTGGCATCATTAGGCTACAAGATTAATAATAATAACAATCAGGCTCCAGAGGAAAGATTAGGACAACATCTGGAGATAGGGACGGTGAATCTTGTCCAACTACTCCCACCAGCTATAATTTTTCAAAAATTTAACTTATTTTTCTAATCAACCCTTTCACAAACGTTATTACACACCTCTGGAGCAGGTGGGACTTGAACCCAGAGCTCCTGGTCAAGGGTAGGGACTCAACCACTAATGTGGAGATACTGGTTGTAATTCAGCCTTCCTTAGACTTGTGGGGTATTGACGCCAGAGAATAGCAACCATTATGACCAAAAATGTGTAACCCAAGTCCAATAATTATAAGCAGGTCATAAGGCCATAAGACATAGGAACAGAAATTAGGCCGTTTAGCCTATCAAGTCTACTCAGCCATTCAATCATGGCTGATAAGTTTCTGAACCCCTTTCTCCCCATAACCCTTGATCCCCTTGACATTTCCTCAATGACCTTGCCTCCACAGCCTTCTGTGGCAATGAATTCCATAGGTTCACCACTGACTGGCTGAAGAAGTTTCACCTTATCTCCGTTCTAAAGGGTCTTCTCTTTAAGGCTCTGCCCTTGGGTCCTAGTCTTTCCTACCAATGAAAACATCTTCCCAACATCCACTCTCTCCAGGCTATTTAGTGTTTTGTAAGTTTCAATTGGATCCCCCCATATCCTTCTAAATTCCAGGACCTAGAGTCCTGAAACATTTCTGATGTTAAGCCTTTCATTCCTGGGATCATTCTTGTGAACCTCCTGTGGACCTGCTTCAGGGCCGAACATCCTTCCTGAGCTATGGGACTCAAAATTGCTCACAGTACTTTAAATGTGGGCTGACCAGAGCTTTATAAAGCCTCAGGAGTATATCCCTGCTTTTATATTCTGGTCCTCAAAATAAATGCTAACACTGTATTTGCCTTCCTAACTACCAACTCAACCTGCAAGTTTAGCTTAAGAGAATCCTGATCTAGGACTCCCAAGTTCTTTTGCACTTCAGATTTCTGAATTTTCTCCCCATTTAGAAAATAGTCTATGCTCTATTCTTCCTACCAAAGTGCACGACCTAACACTTTACAACATTTTATTCCGTCTGCCACTTCTTCACCCACCCTCCTAACCTGTCTAAATCCTTCTGCAGCCTCCCCGCCTCCTCAATCCTACTTGTCCCTCATTCTATCTTTGTATCATTTGCAAACATATCCAGAATGCCCTCAGTTCCTTCATCTAGATCATTAATGTATGAGGTGAAAAGTTGTGGTCCCAACACTGACCCTTGTGGAACACCACTAGTCACCGGCTGCCATCCTGATAAGGAACCTTTTATCCCCACTCTGCTTTCTGCCAGACAGCCAATGTTCTATCCATACTGGTACCTTGCCTCTAACACCATGGGCCTTTATCTTACTCAGCAGCCTCCTGTGCAACACCTTGTCAAAGGCCTCCTGAAAGTCCAGCTGGATTACATCCATTGGCTTTCCTTGGTCTAACCTGCTAGGTACCTCCTCAAAGAATTCTAACAGAGTTGTCAGGCATGAAACCATGCTGACTTTGCCCATGCACTTCCAAGTATTCAGAGATCTCATTCTTCACAATGAACTCCAAAATCTTTCCAACATATGAGATCAGGGTAATTGTCCTGTAATTTCTCACCTTTGCCTTATCCCTTCTTAAACAGGGGTGTTACATTAGTGATTGTCCAGTCCTCTGGGACCCTCCCTGACTCCAGTGATTTCTGAAAGATCAGCACTAACACCTCCACTATCTCTTCAGCTTATCTCCTTCAGAACTTTGTTGGTCAGATATTTCTAGAAACAATCATTCAGGTCAAATCAATAGTAATATGGACAAATATGGGTCAAATGTGAAATCCAGCATGGATTTCCTGAGGGAAAATTATATTTTACAAATAAAAGAGTTCTTCCTGAAAAATATTAATAATCTAGATTTTGGTACACAGGGCACAATTTCAAAGTCTGTAAATAGTGTGAAACATGGAAGCATTGTGAACTGCGTTGATGGTATGGAACTTCAAGAGGACATTAACAAATTAGTGAAATGGGTGGAGAGGTGGTAGATGAGGTTCAATGGAGAAAATTGTGAACTAATGAATTTTGGTAGGAAGAAAATGGAGAGACAATGTAAACGGGCAAAACTCTTCTGTTTGTGATTTTTGTAAATGATTTGGATGTAGGAGTGGAAGGGTGGATTAGTAAGTTCGCGGATGATACGAAGGTGGGTCGAGTTGTAGATAGTGCGGAGGGCTGTTCTAGGTTACAAAGGGATATTGATAGGATGCAGAGCTGGGCTGAGAAGTGGCAGATGGAGTTTAACCCTGAAAAGTGTGAGGTGATTCATTTTGGAAGGACAAACTCGAAAGCAGAATACAGGGTTAATGGAAAGATTCTTGGCAGCGTGGAGGAGCAGAGGGATCTTGGGGTTCATGTCCATAATTCCCTGAAAGCTGCCACCCAGGTGGATAGAGTTGTTAAGAAGGCATATGGTGTGTTAGCTTTCATTAATAGAGGGATTGAGTTCAAGAGCCATGAAGTTATGCTCCAACTATACAAAAGCCTGGTTCGGCCACATCTGGAGTATTGTGTCCAGTTCTGGTCGCCTCATTACAGGAAAGATGTGGAAGCGTTGGAAAAGGTGCAGAGGAGATTTACCAGGATGTTGCCTGGAATGGAGGGAAGGTCTTACGAGGAAAGGTTGAGAGGGCTAGGGCTTTTCTCTTCAGAACGACGAAGGATGAGAGGTGTCTTGATAGAGGTGTGCAAAATGATCAGAGATATAGATAGAGTGGACAGCCAGAGACTTTTTCCGAGGGTGGAGGTAGCAATTACGAGGGGTCATAGTTTTAAAGTGAGTGGAGGTAGATATAGGAGAAACGTCAGAGATAGGTTCTTTACTCAGAGAGTGGTAGTGGCGTGGAATGCATTGCCGGAGAGGGTAGTGGAGTCGGCCTTATTATGGGCATTTAAGCGGCTATTAGGTAGGCATATGGATGATAGTATAAAGTAGGGGTGGAGGTTAGATAGACCTTAAGTTTACGGTAAAAGTTTGGCACAACATCGTGGGCCGAAGGGCCAGTACTGTGCTGTACTGTTCTATGTTCTATGGTCTAACTCTAAAAGAGTGCAGGAGCAGAGGGACCTGGGTGTATATGAGCACAAGTTATTAAAGGAGGGAGATCAGGTTGAAAGAATGATTATCACTAAATACAGTATCCCAGGCTGCATAAATAAGAGTAATGCATAGAATTTAAGAGCAAGGAGGCAATGTTGAACTTGTATAAATCACTGGGTCAGCATTATTAGCATTATGTCCACTCCTGGACACCAACTGTAGGAAGATTGTGAAGGCACTGGAAAGTATGCAGGAAAAGATTTCAAGAATAGTTCCGGAATTGAGGAACTTCAATAATGAAAATAGATCGGAGAAGTTAAGACTGTTTTCCTTGGGGGAGAAAGGTTGAGAGGAGATTTGACAGAGGTATTAAAAATCATAAAGAGTCCAGACAGAATAGATTAGAAGAAACTTCACATTCATGACGGGATTGAGAACAAGAGGACATAGACTTGAAATAATTGTTAAAAGTAGCAAAAGCGATATGGAGTTAGAAATTTAAAACAGTAAGAAATAATGGTCTGCAATGCGCTATGAGTTGAAACATTCAAAGGGAATTAGACCAGTCTATGGAAAGAAAAAGTGTGCAGGGTTATGAAATGAAGGCAAGTGATTGACACTAAATGATTTGCTCATTCAAAGAGTTGCTGCAGACATGATGGGCTGAATGATGTCCTTATTTACTGTAACAGTACTGTTTCCTTTTTTAAAAAACTGTTTCCTGTTTGACTTTGCAACAGATTTCCTCAATTACCTGCAGCATTCATCCTGCTGCATGAGGAGATTCTGGTTGTCAGTAGGGACCATCCACTAAAGAAGCACAAATGTTTGTGAGAAGGGTTTTGTTACATTGCAAGAACGGAATGAGTAAGAAGGAATTCATTTCCACGTCTGCAAATTTGCTGAGAGGAACTTAAATGACCCATTCCAGCTAATGCTGAGGAAGCTGTGCTGTCTCATCATAATACAAGCATAATGTATAACTTGCAAGTGTCCCAACCTTGTGGTATTGAGGTAATGGTTTGCTTGGAATATACATAATATAAATGAAGCACCAATTAATACAGAACTTAACAGAAGGTGATTACAATGATCATGGATGTACTTAGGGTGGCCAGGTAATTCTATAAGTTTCAGCTCTTTATTGACGCAGTCAACCTTAGTAATATAGTAGTTAAAGATGTAAATTGATTCATTTTCCAAAGAGAGGCCATATTTAATTGAATTTGTTGACCGGTCAGTTCTGAGAAATGAAAACATCTGGGAATGAATACACCAAGAGATCAATTTTCTAAATTTAACTCTTGTTAGTATCTAAGCAATGACACAATGACCAAATAATCCAATATCTTTGTACACTGTTGAAGCCAACAATGAATTTAAGACCTGTTTTGAACTAAAACAATATGCAGCTGAAATATCACGTTCAAGTTATTACTCCCTGTGTTCTTTAGGTTTAAAAGAATAAAAAAACTGCAGACAGATTTCTTGGAGAATTAGTTGAAAGTTGGCACTTAATATTGTAATGCTCAACCACTTAGTGATCTATGTAATAATTTATTTTCTATTGGTTTAATCTAACAAAAATGTAAATATACAAGGCAACTTATTTACAATAATTTTTTAAAAAGTTATTACAAATTGCCTTTGAAGTTATAAGGTTCAATATTTGAAGTTGTGATTGTGTTAATATTAAAACAAACAAGTGTGCATGGTTACATCTTTCAAAATAGTGAAATATTTTTTAGTGCTCACACATTGAGTTGTGTATTTTTAAATTTATTCCATTTGTTTCAGCACTTTGGTTGCACTGGCTTTATTTAAAGTGTTTCAAAGTAATGAAGTTCTAAATTACACTAAACTCGTGGGAACAATCATGAAACCTCCTGCTGGATAGATATGGCAAGTTGCAACATGGTGAATAACAGACCTTCATATGTTTTTCATTGACTGAAATTCTAATTCCTAACTGCTAGATTCTTATTGAGGAACAAACATATGTAAATATGATTGTTATCAGTTTTCATAGGTTGGCCCAGAATTGACATTTCAGATTTTTCCTTTCTTTTTGTTTTTCTCATCGAATCACTTCAATATCCCAGAACTGTGTCTGTCGTTGTTCCTCCGGCGAGTTTAAGATGATGTTGTGCTTGTCATAGAAATCACCACCTGAGAAACAATAAAAAGTTTTAAAAATGTTAAATACCATTGGTGTATAATGAAATGCAGTGCCAGGTTAGCTAACGGCTTCTCTGTTACTGAAGGCGAGTACTTTTATCTGGTAGTTGCCTCATAAGCTTTCCATCTTTTTCTTGTAACTATTTATGGAAGGTCACCAATTTGTCTCCTTAAGACATGATTGTGGCTGGTGTTTTGTAGAGGCACAGAGGTCTCATGGTCCGGTGTGACACTCCTTAACTTTACTGGACTCTCAGTTCCTTTCTTGGTGTTTGGTAAAATTCAGCCCTATATATCTGGTACCATTGATGAGATAACTTCTGGAGCTTTTTATATTTTGGTTCTACAAAGTATTCCTGTTTTGTAAATGTCTATGCAGAATTCCATTTTCAAACAATCTTTTCACACTAGAAAATACGTGATTTCCTATAATTTTTGAAAATATTTTCATGTTTCATACATTTTAGTATATAACTTTTAGATTTAGGGATTCAAATTTAATCATAGAAAATGGCATAAATACAACTGAAGCACGCAAAAGTCTATTCCACATAAATGTAGGACTTAACACTAAGAGGTTAACATGGGTAATGTTTCTTTCAATAGAATCAGAATAGAAAGGATGGTTTCTTTTGGGAGTTGCTTAAAATATTTAATGAACTCTGAAAGGCTAGAAAAGCCACTTCATCAAATAAAAGAATAAATTGTAATTGAGGAATATCAAACCCTGAAGGTCTGTTTAATGATAAAAGAGCGAGCTATGTCATCACGAAGGTGATGGAACTTAAGTCTCTTTTGTTTCAGCTTATCTGGGTGGGTTTTTGCTGGGAGAAGCTAGTTACAGCCTGAGCCGGGAGAGTGCTGAAGTAAATCAATCACTTCAGGTAGCATATTGGTAGAATCCGTTCTGTCAGGGCAGGTGAGGTCACTGAGAACCATTGATAGTTTAATGCAGCTAAGACTAGGGGTGAAGGAAGCCCAAAAGTAGTATTTATTTGGGGTGGCTGAGAAATATTGGAGCTTGGAGAAACCCCAAGGAAATATCACTTAGTGAAGCTTGTTGGATGCAAAGGAGCTGGAATTGTGCCCATGAGTAAATGTTGGGGTGCAGTCTTAGGGGAACAATGTGGAGGTAAGCAGTTGTTGAGGCAATCAGTCAGCAGATTGTGAGGGAACTATGAAGCTAGACCCTTGAAAGCGTGGGAATAGCTTGTAAAGCAGACAAAGTTTGAGTGAAATTTGATGAGCCACAGTATCTCCAACATTATGGCGTGCTGGTGAGAAATCTGCGGCATCTGACTTTGTTTTATTTGCTATTTGTTGTGTGCTGTCAAGTTTTTGATCGTAGTTTGTCTGTTCGAGTTAATTTTAGATGTTAGTGTATAAGTTTTATATATTATGGGCAGCTCACCACCATCTTTTACGGAACAATTATGGTTGGGCAATAAATGTTGGCCTAGCCAACAATGCCCATATTCCATGAATGACTAAATACTAATATATACACACAGGACCTTTGGAATTCTCTGTCCCAAAAGAATATGGAGACTCAATCGTTGAATATGTTTAAAACTGAGATTGATAAATTTCTACATATTTAAAAAAAAATCAAGGGATATGGGGTTAGTGCAGGAAAATGGTGCTCAAGCAGAAGAAAATGGTGGTTAATGCTACTTAGAGCGGCATGGTTAGCACTGCTGCCTCACAGTGCCAGAGACCCAGGTTCGATCCCACCCTCAGGCAACTGTGTGTGAGTGGGTTTTGCACGTTTTCCCATGTCTGCGTTGGTTTCCCCTGGCTGCTCCAGTTTCGTCCCACAGTCCAAAGATGTGCAGGTCAGGTGGATTAGCCATGAGAAATGCAGGGTTACCAGGATAGGGTAGAAGACTGGGTCTAGGTGGGATGCTTTTTGAAGGATTGGTGTGGACTCAATGAGCTGAATGGCTTGCTTTCACACTGGGGATTCTACGATTCTATAAAGTAGAAGTTCAGACATGGTCTCATTAAGGGTTTGAAGGGCTAAATAGCCTACCCTGGTTTCTACTACATTTCTTATTATCTTGTAGATTGTTTTACTATGGTTGGTTGGCTCGCCAAACCGGTTCATTGTTCTGCAGACGTTTCATTACCCTGCTGGGTAACATCATCAGCGCAGCCTCCGATGAAGCGCTGTTGTGTTTTCCAGCCTGTCATTTAAACTCTTCTTTGGAGGCTGCACTGATGAAGTTACCCAGCAAAGTAATGAAGCGTCTGTGGAACAACAGAGTTTAAATGACAGGCGGGAAAACACAACAGTGCTTCATCGGAGGCTGCGCTGATGGTATTACCCAGCAGGGTAATGAAACGTCTGTGGAACAACAAACCAGCTTGGTGAGCCAACCAACCACAACATCCACAACCCGAGCTACAAATTTACTCCAAAACCTTCAAGGTTGTTTTACTGTTCTAACCTTGTACAGTAAAGCTTATTTTGTTTATTCCAAATCGTGCAATCTCCAGAACAGAGAGCAAAGTGGAGTGACACAGAAACAGGAGTTAATTTAGGCGTAGTTGGATGACCAATGTCACAGAGCTGTCTCAGTCAAGCTGCAATCAATGTTTGAGCATGGTGCAAGACAGGCAAGCATGGCATACTGTGACAGCAAATTTCTTCGCACATCATGTTGCAGGTGTACAAGATGTTGGTGCAGCCACTTTTTCAATACTGCATACTATTGTGGTCCCCTGCTTTGGAAGAATGTTAAACTAGAAAGCATACAGAAAAAAATTACAAGGATATTGCTGGGACTGGAGGGTTTGAGTTATAGGGAGGGGCTGAACAGTCTGGGACTTTTTTCCTTGATGCATTGGAGGCTCAGGGGTGGCCTTATAGAGGTTTATAAAATCGTAAGGGAGATAGATAAAGCGAATAGCCAAGGTCTTTTCCAAGGATAGGGGAGTCCAAAACTAGACAGCATAAGGGGAAAGATTTAAAAAGGACCTGAGGGGCAATTTTTTCACACAAAGGATGGCGTGTGTATGGAATGAGCTGCCAGAGGAAGTGGTAGAGGCAAGTACAATTGCAACTTTCAAAAGACATTTGGACAGCTACGTGAAAAGGAAAGTTTTTGAGAGATAAGGGCCAAATTCAGGCAAATGGAACTAGTTCAGTTTGGGATACCTGGTCGACATGGACGAGTTAGGCCAAGGGGTCTGTTTCCATGCTATACAGCTCTATGATTCTATAATGCAAGCAGTAGTAGCAAATATCTGGGATTTTTACCAGATCGTAACATAAATTTGGCCATCTCCTCAGGGATTGTAATGCAACAGTAACATTTAATGCCATTTTTAAAGTTTGCAACAGACTCCGTGAATCTGACTCTTTGGATACAGCCATGCACTGTTCACAGTGCTTAGGAAACCTCAGAATTTATGCTGCCATTCCAATGTGTACTTAACATCATTTTGCATTGATATAAAACTGAGATAAATAAGTGCAGCCTTTAGTTTAAGCAAACTATACTGAGTGAACATAATAGAAATTATCCAGTAATTTCTTCAGATTTTACATTTTTATAAATTCAGATGAGGTGGAAAATTGAGTTAACTTCTTTTGAAGAAATAAATGTGTTACCTTTAATATCTAGTCGCAGATTAAAATCTAGAAAAGAAGAAATTGTTCCATCTCTATTAATGTTCCATTTCTGATGAGTGCGGCTATGCTCTGTCCAAAGACTTACTTTGGTTCCAGCCTTTCCTTGACTACCAATGGCATCTATGCACGCATAGTTCGCCTATAAGCAGAATAGAATATTACTTTAGTTAGTTAATTAAGGTCAGATTGGTTTGGGTTCTTAGGTGAACAGTTGGCTAGATTTTTTAAGAAGTGCAGATTCATACAAAACTCTACAATATATTCCCCCTGTGTTCATGAATGGAATTGAATGATTGCAGTGGAGACCTATAAAGCCAGTGGCAATCCTGTTGTGGCCATTTTCGAGAGGTGTGATAAGATTAAGTCACAATTAAGCACTTAGCTTTCTACTATCTGACTTAGAGCGTAAGACCATAAAATATAGGAGCAGAATTAGACTATTCAGCCCATCGACTCTTCTCCATCATTCAGTCATGGCTTATATATTTCTCAATCCCATTCTTCTGCCTTCAGCCTTTGATCTGCTTACTTCTTGGCTCCCCCGAAATTTTTCCTATAACTGTAGCTGTGGGGTGGATATTTCCTTTGCCAATGCTGGGTTATTGTCTATGTTTCTTGGTGTTCTCTGTATAATCGATTTGCTTTATTAGTTTGATAGGTACTTCAGAATATATTATGCATAAATGACACATTATGTATTTTGAGTCACTTGTAGACTGGACTAACTGGCTCATTTTTTAAAGAGCTTGAGTCAGCCAAAGGGTTTTTAATGGCAATCTGACACTTCTTATGATCATTTTCTGTTACTGGTCCAAATACTGGGTTTATTGCATTCAGTTTCACAGCTTGACTTCAATGAATTTGAATTCTGACTCCAGTGTCCGGAAAACAGATGAAGAATAACTTATTAAGGATATAGTGCTTAAAATTCTGAACATAATTGGTTAAATAATGATTACTAATCAGATTCAGACTCTTAATTTCTTAAATTTAGTAATAGTAAACCTGAATTGGCAACGAGTCATTGTGTATCAGTCTCTTATGTTTCCTGTTCTAATGTGTAACATCTTATATTTTGTATTGCTTGCAATACTCTTACATCTAAATTTGACTATTCTAATGAAATGCTGACTGTCCTCCTGGGTTCCACCCTCCATAAATTTGTAGTTATCCAAAACGCTACTGTTTTGGCAATGTTGCCACACTATCACTAATCTCCAGACCTACAATCCCATTTAATATCTGTACTCTTCTAATTCTGGCTTCTTGAGAATCACAGATTTTGATAGCTCCACTATTGGTGCTATGCCTTTAACTGCAAAATCTTAAGCCTTGAAGAAACTCCCTCCCGAAACCATTCTGCCTTTCTTTCATCCCTTCCTTTAAGACACTGTTCAAAATTTATCTCTTAGACTAAGCTTTTGGTCATACCTCCTAATATATATGTTACTTGGTGTCAAATTTTGCTTTAAAAAGCTCAAATGAAGTGTTTTGGAATATTTTGCATTATATATAAATAAAGAAGCATTTGCATTTGTTATTTATTCAGAATAAAATCTATCAGGCATTCTTTACCAATTGACTTAATTTATCCAGATCTCTTTGAAACCTCTAAATCTGCCTTACAATAGTCACATCGGCATTTAATTTCATAAACCATTTTTGTGACATAAAGGAGATGTATCTTCCTCTGTGCTATCTGCCCTTCTTACTTCTGTTACTAATAGGTTTAGTATCATGAGCGTTAATACTTCATTTGACAACAGGGCATGTGGGTGACTACATTAAGGGAATAAAACTCCCCTTCAAGAAAACTTAAAAATAATGAACAAACCTCTACAGTAAGAATAAAGTAAATGGCAATAAAATGTTGAATATAATTGTTTTGAAACAATTTATCAAATACATTTGCAAGGATGCTCAATGTATATTCAATATGTTTTATATTTTGCAGAAGACATCAGGAAAATAAATCCTGTATAGGAAATATACTGTGGGTCTTAGCTTGATGATTATCATATGTATTAGCTAAATATGTCCTGTTCAAACCACCTGGACATCATTCAGGCCAACAATTAAGTGTTAATATGATCAAATGAATTGGCATACAAGTGTTACAGCCTACTGCCACTTCATTTCTGTTAACACACCAGAACCTTTCCATAGCTGTTGATTGCAAAACTATGTTTCTATCTTTCTTACTTTATTATTTAAGTAACTATTTCATCAGTCAATCAACTTTGCTTACCACTAAATCAAAACTATTCCTCTAATACAATTCATCCCAGAGCATTATGTAGTGAGAGAATAACAGATATCAATTATATAATTACCTTGGATTGAATAAGCCCATTACAATAAAACCACATCTGTGTAGGTTTACCATTGTAAGGACAGACAGATAATCTAGATCCCCTTGGGTCTTCAGAATCTCCAACGACGGTGATAAACCCTCCAGTGGCTTTGTTTTTGATTTGGAAGTAGACTCTTGGCTGATGTAACAAGAACAGGAAATTGATTTTGTTAGTGACTGTTCACATGATTGTTACTCTGAGGTTTTATTTGTGAACCCTATATGACATATGTTTTGATATCAATAAATATTGATGAAAAAACTGTATTGTTGAGTAATCCAGGAACAAAGTTTGCAGAAAGTATTAAATACATTCAGTCAATGAATTAAACATATGAATTAAACAAAGCTTCATAAAACATTCATAGAACATTTCTCTTTTTGGAAGTACTTTTTCCTTCCTCTTGCTTCATGGAAACAGTTCTTCCTCCTCACAAACTTTAACCCAATCCCTTTTTTGACTCTTTCCCCTTTGCCTTTATTTTCTATTCCATCCTTTGCCGTGACTTCACCCTTTTACTTCTCCAAATTAAAATGAATTCATTTTTCATTGCAGCTATGTTCCCCGCCTTTCCTTCAGGAAAGAAATGAAATTGGCCAAAGGGTAGATTTTGAGGTTTGTAATGGAAGAGATAGAGGTAATTGCTCAAGGGTTTAGTGAGAGTTACAGATTATGGACCAAAGTAGGTGATGTTTCTTTGCGTAGGAACTGATATAGAGGAAAGTGGGTGTAGAGAACGAAAGAGTCTTGAAAAATGGAGACCGGACCCTATCCAATTTTTTTGCTAAGGATTCCACTCTGCCTTTGTCAGCTTTCTAGGCCTCTGCTAACATCTAAGTAGTGCAAATTAAGATGAACTGGCTTGATTTTACTTCCCTATTTCATGCAATCTGATGCTAGAATTTAGGGCAAGAAGCATCCCTTTGAGGTACTGACTGGGGTGAATCATGTCCAATGTGCAATGTCGTACGTTGACTGAGACCATTGGCCTCAAGAGCCAACGCAACTTCTTTTTGTTTCCTTGGTTCTGTTGTATGACAATTGGGGATTGGTTAGTTCAGTTGGCTGAATGGCTGGTTTGTGATGTGGAGTGATACCAGCAGCATAGTTCAAATCACATACTGCCTGAGGTCACCGTGATGATCCGACCTTCTCAACTTCACCCCTCACCTGGGACGTGGTGACCCTCAGGTTAAACTCTTACCACCCGTCATCTCTTATAATCAGAGTAGGTTTATGGCAACTTTAGAGACAAAAACAGAAATTGCTGGAAAAGCTCAGCAGATCTGGCAACATCTGTGGAGAGAAATCAGAGTTAATGCTTCAGTTTGAGTGACCCTTCCTCAGAACTGAGCTTTTCTAGCAATTTCTATTTTTTGTCTCTAAAGTTGCCATAAACCTGCTCTGATTATAAGAGATGACGGGTTTTTTGTCTCTGATTTACAGCACCCGCAGTTCTTTCGGTTTTTTTGGCAACTTTACTTTTTTTTTATTTTTATGACACTGGATTAAGAACAAAGAACCTATTTTGTTGTAGTATTAGAACCAAATGTTATGGGCTCCTTCTTTGAGGATTGCCACTGCCAATTTGAAAATAAAGATCTTTGCTTTTTTAAAAAAAATTGATGTAATGAAGAAATACACATTTAAGTAGTTTCCTTATATATATTTGATTGTGACTCTCTTACATCTGCTCCAGCCTCTGGTATGATATTATCCATTCATATCCTTTTCAGAAAAATAATGGATGAAAATTAAATAGGACCAAAAAACATAGGTGCAGAAATAGGCCATTCAGCCCATTGAGTCTGCCCCACCATTTGAATGAGATCATGTCTGATCTGATAATCCTCAACTCCACTTTCCTGCCTTTGCCCCATATTGCTTGATTCCCTTACTGATTAAAAATCTGTCTATCTCAGCCTCAAAATATGTAATGACCCAGCCTTAACAGCCCTCCGTGGCAAAGAATTACACAGATTCACAACCCTCTGGGAGAAGAAGTTCCTCTTCATCTCTTTTTTAAATATGCGGCCACTTACTCTGAGACTATGCCCTCTGGTCAGACTCCTCCAGAAGGAAGCAACTTTTCCGCATCTGCCCTGTCAAGTACTCTAAGAATCTCATATGTTTCAATAAGGCTTCCCTCATTCTTCTGTATTCCAATGGGAACAGGCCCAATCTCCTCAACCTCTCCTCATAAGACAGGCCTTCCGTACCAGTTTGCAACCTAGTAAACCTTCTCTAAACTGTCTCCAATGGCAAAATGAAGTGAACTGCACTGAACATGAATTGAATCTTTTCAAAAATGAGGAAGTTCTGGGTTTAGCCAAATGGCCAATAACTGATGCTTGCAATATTGAATATAAAATGTAAAAGTTAGAAAATAACAGCAGGCAGATTACTTAAAGGATTTCAACAACTGACTTACCTCCTGAAAATGTATCGGTTTCTGCCACTTGTCCTGCCTCCAATAAAACAGAAGATGGGACAACTTAACTAGGTTTAGCATATTGTTTCTCTGATTTTTTACATTGTAAACTCTAATCTCTGCTTTTGATAGGATAATATATAGATACCCTGTGGGTCTGGGTAGTAATTTTGGAGCCCAAAGAATAATTATATCTAAATATTTGTCCTTTAGGTGGAAAAGAAATTAATCATGATGGAAAAGGGTTAAGAAAATGTGAAACATTTGAAAAATGTCCTATTCTACCTCTAAATTTGGTATGATGCCAGATGGCAATACAAGCATTTCAGATTACATTCCAAATGGTTCCTGATATTTCAATCTAAACAAATAAGAAGGCAGAAAATATTTAATATGTAATGATTCTTTGACTCTTTTGTAATTACCTGGGAAAGATTTTCATCTAGAAGCTATGTTTATTTTTTACACATTTTTGCCATCTTTGATGCCAAAATTGATCATTCATTTCAATTAATTTATACTTGCTGATTTTGGGGCTTATTAATGGATTTTAATGCAGAAGATGGATCAATTCTGATCAATTGATTTGGAGTGCCTCACACAGGACACTCAAAAATCATTTAACAGTCAGCAGCTTTTAGGATCACTTAAATTATCCAGGGGAAATAGGAGGAGGATGACGGTGGGCATGGGGAGCAAAATGAATGTTAAGGATGGAATCGCTGAGTGGCACAAAAGATCCTCCCTCAATAGTAAGGGAAAGAGTTCAGAGTTCAAAGGTAGGGCGGGGGGAGGTGAAAGAGCATAGGTCAAGGGCATGGCCAACTTGACTATGTTCCTGTTGGAATGAGCCCATTGCCCCCTCGCTGTGTTGATAATTTTGGGGATAAAATTGGAGACGGATTATGAGGCAATATTTTATAATCAGCTCGTTCCCAGAGATGTTTATTGCACACCTCTGGAGCAGGTGGGACTTGAAGCTCGGTCTCCTGGCTCTAAGGCAGGGTTTCACAGCACCACGAGAGACCAAAATTATGAGAGAAATGGACAGTGTGGATATGAAGCAGCTGTCTCTACCTACCCCCCCATCCTTTGTTGAAGGGTCAATAAGTGTCCCTACCTCTGAGTAGGATTCAGGGGCCACCTGCTTCAGAGGAGTGTAATAACATCTCTGGGCAGGTTGATAAGGTGTGACTGGACAAGGTTGCTGCAAAAGAGATGCTAGGGATAAAGAAATGTCCCAGATAAATGGGTTGTTTGCTTTACAATATATAGGATCTTGGGGAACCAAGGATTTCAGGGAAAGGACAGGAAAGTTGTTGTGAGGAGTGTCAAATCGGCCATTAACCATTTAAATTGCAGAACAGGCTCAAGTGGGCTGGATGGCCTACTCCTTTTCCTATTTCTTCTGAATTTAAGTTACTTCCTGAAGCCTGATGGTAAAACCTAAGTGCTGCCACAACTGTGAAAATCAAAAGCACATTCACAGCCCAGGATGTCATAATTGAAAAGGATTATATCTTGGGTAAACATATTCTTCCATTAAAATTGAAAAGGATTATATCTTGGGTAAAAATATTCTTCCATTAAAATTGTCCACTATAACTGTAGCCCTAAGCCATATGCCAGCACTCTCATCATGTTTATATGTGGATTTCTGCTGGAACCATCCAGGATGTCTTGGGTAGATTCACTGCCACCATTCCTTCCTGTTTGTATCAGTCTAAGCTACAGAAACCAAGTGACAAAGGATTCCAAACAAACTGCACAGCAGAAGACAAGTTCAGTCTTGATGACCAGCAAGTAGGTTTGTAAGTTAATGTGATAGTTAGTTACATTACATCCGAGATATATGCTTGTCTCTTGTCAGATTATCAGGCTCAATTTAAGATTATATATACAGTGCTATTTTAGCTACAGGCTGCTAACTCTCAGAACAGTCACTGAAGCACCAAACAGCCTTTGGTAAACACACCAAACTTGTTTAGCTCCTCACAGGAACAACTCTTTATATCCCAAACGGCAGATCTTATCTTATGATGATGGTTAACGCCTTCAGGTACTGACTGTCTTACACAACATTTCTCCCTGGTTATTAAATTCTTTATGCAATTGGTTCAAATATATTAAACAGGTTGATCACGATCCCATCTCCTCCTAAATCTCTGACTTTATGAACGATTGATGATTTGGTTGGATGTAACATTAAAGAACTAGTTATTGTTACACCTGAACCTTTGTGGATCTTTGATTTCTCAGATATTCTTTACCGAGGACGTCATCTGCCATTGATGTCACTGTTGAAAACTTGTTTCACATGGAGGATCGCTAATTTCCTCAAATCATGTCAGAGGAGATAGTTGTGTTTCTGAAAGGCTTAATCTTCTTCTCTTGATATTACAGTGAGTTAGATTCATATTTGAATGTTGAATCATAGGCAGTAAAGCTGACTGGGCTGTTTTGGTACTGCCTTAAGCAGGTTCATTGACTGTAGAAGAGTTTCTGTGTAATTCCTGATGGTTGTGGATTCAAAAATATCAGGTGATCAGACTTTGAAAATTCTAGTGCAGCTGGAAGATAATTAAATAATTCTTCTGAACCTCTGACCTCCTTGTGATGAAATGTTGTCATATATCAAAATGATTCATGACAAGCAGTGTATTTGTTCCCTCAGTTTCTGTGAACAATCTTCTGAGACCTATGAAAT